ATTCTTATGGTTGTACATGATATGGAGTTTCACTGGTTGTGTATTTATATATGAACATAGGAAAGTTATATCTGATTCATTCTACTGTCTTTCCTAATCCAGTCCCCGCCTCTCTTCCCTTTGTCTGATCCCGGGAACTTCTGTTCTTCCCTAGGAAGGGTGGGCTTAGCAAGAATATACACAGCTTTATGGCTTCCCATGGTTTTGAGGTTAAGGGAGAAAAACTGAGGAGACTTTAATCACTGTCATTCTGCCAGATAGATAGATATTTCTTTCTCTCTGTATATACAATTTCTATTCTTCTCATAGGAGCCATTTCCTTCACTATTTACAGTACTAGGGCATATGTTTTTATTTTTGATGGCTTATCTTCTTTGAATTTTGGGAACAAATGTGCTGATGTTTACATAGTATTGATAATCATTCCGTAATGCTTGAGCTATGTATTTGTCCATTTTGTTTGTATAAATTAGTATGAAAACCGCTTAAGACTAAGACTTAAATGCTAGACAGCTGGTGGATGTTGGTTTTAAACATTGGCTTAAGTTTTTGGGTAAGGCTAAAATATAAATCTTGAAGAATAATGAAAATTCTATAAACAGATAATAACAAGTAATGTTTGCTTAGGGGTTTCTGTGGTCCAGATACTCTTACAACTTGGAGTATTTGGTATGATCCTTACCAAAACACATGAGAGTTTATGCTATTAAAATTTCATTTTTCAAAGCAAGGAAACTTGACATGAAGAGGTTATGGAACTTGCCTAAGACCCCACAACTAGTAGAGGCCCAATTTGGACACCTTTCGAACTCCAAAGCCAGTAGACAGTACTGCTTCTTTGCATCTTAACAGTGCCAAGCTACAGTCCTAAATGCAATTCCTTAGGGCATTTCCTGTCCAGTAATAGAAACAGCTGTTAATGGCTATGTATTTATTTATAGGCAGCTCTCTCAGCTTTCAGTGATACCCACCCTCTTCTAACTTGTCCTGTGATTGTGTTCATACCCCTTTTAAAATATTGGCTCTGTCATCTCCCTTTAAGAGGCTCCTTTGAAGGGGCCAGAGTTCCCAAAGGAGAACTGTTCCTGTAAGGTCTGGTCAAGTCTACTCTGATCCTAATATTGAATAATAGAATTGCCATATAGTTCCCAGCCATCTGCCAAGTGTCTTCCCTCAAATTTTTTTCTACTATTTATCACTTTTTCTCCTCTTACCTTTTATCCTCTTCTTTCCCAGGAGATGCAGCCTTGTCTTGTAGAAGAATATATGCTTCCTACTAATTAGAATTGTTTTGCATTCCTTGTGCCATTTTTTGGTTTGTTTCTAGTTTTCTGACCCTGATCAGATTATTTGTTATTTCATTATCTATAAAAGAGATAATGATATATGCAAGGCATATATCATATATAATATATGCCTTGCATATATCGTTATATATTATTGTTGTAAAGATTAAAAGTCATGTTTATGAAGTCCCTAGCACAGAATAGATCCTTGTAAAAGTGAGCTCTTTCTTCCCTAGAATCTGTTGATACAATGTAATTGAGCAAATATTTATTAGCATCTAATCTGTGTTAGACTCTGCTAAGGATACTGATCAGATTTATTAACAACACAACAAAAGTCCTCAGAGTCTCTGTATTCAGAAACTGCATGGTATAGAAGAGAGAAGGACATTATTTTTTTAGTATTTATTTTTTAGTTATAGGTGGACATAATATCTTGATTTTATTTTTATGTGGTGCTGAGGATCGAGCACTCTACCTCTGAGCCACAACCCCAGCCTGAAAGAAGGACAATATAAATGAATTAGAACAAAAATGTGCTCAGTTAATAGAGGTATATATAAAGTGCTGTAAGCAGTTAATTCTTTTTCCAGGCCTATCTGTGGAGAGATTTCCAAGTTTCTTTTTTTTGTTTGTTTGTTCTTAGAAAAATGCATGGTAGTCAAGATGAGGGGACAAATAGAAAGAGGAGGAGGAAAAAAAAGGTTCAGTGGGCTGGGATTGTGGCTCAGTGGTAGAGCGCTCGCCTAGCACGGGAGGGACCCGGGTTCAATTCTCAGCACCACATAAAAATAAAGGCATTGTGTTGTGTCCCATCTACACCTAAAAAATAAATATTTTTTTAAAAAAAGGTTCAGTAATTGTTGATTGTTGATGCGCCAACCTTTTTTTGGGGGGGGGGTGCTAGCTGCATCCCCAAGCTTCCCAGCCAAACCCCGCCTTTTTTTTTTTTTTTAAAGCAGGGTCTCACCAAGTTGCTTAAGGCCCACTAGGTTTCTTGAGGCTGGCTCCAAACTTGTGATTCTCCTGCCTCAGCCTCCTGAGTCTCTGGGACTATAGTCATGTGCCACCATGCCTTTCTGAGGTGTCAACCTTTGAGAACTGATTTTAGCAAGGCATTTGATGAATTTTTCATGAAGTTGCTTATGTGTGTGATGTTGTTTTACTATGCATACCTCTTTACACCTGTGTTACAATTATTTGAGTGCATGTGCTGTCTCCTTTAGTAAGCTACAAGTTCCTTAAAAGTAAGGACCCTGCCTCAAATTTTCTATATTTTCCCAAATTACTTGCACATTGATGATTCGCAATAAACATTTTCTTGATTTATCATTTAAAAGAAAGTTGGATTGGTAAAAAGACAGGCTTATCTGATAACGTGCCACAGTCCTTGGACGTATTCTTTTTCCCTACTGATGGATAAAGATATAGAAATCATGCTTATTGTATATGCAAATGACACAAAGCTGGAAAAGAGAATATGACATCAAATGACAGTCAAAACTGCAGATGATCTCAACATAGCAGACTATTCAGTTGAAAAGAATAGGGACAAACATACACTACTGTGTTTAAGGGGATAAAAATACTCAGCAACTTCATTAGATATAGAATTAAGAGAACTATATTGATAACATTTAATTTGAAGATTATTTGGGAGGGTAGGGGATGGATTTTAATTGCCTTTAAGTTCAGTATACCAGGATTGTCAGTAAAGCCTAACAGTTAAGAGTCTTGACTATATTAGTATAATATGAATCCATATAGAATAGCTCATGGTTCTATTCTTCTTTTTATTGGTCAGGCTGTTGAGTGTTGGAGACAGTTTGAGAATGTCATACATGTAGAGAAAAACTGACAAATTGCAATCTGTCTAGAAGAACATAAGTAGGAAGTTAAAAGCTTGGATGTAGGAGTCAGGTCTGGTTTTACTGATTACTAGTTGTGAAAGTTTGACAAAGTCAACCATCTCACTTTGTTTCTATACCTTTAAAAAGGGATGAAGATAGCCAGGTGTGGTGGCTCACACCTGTAATTCCAGTGGCTGGGGAGGCTGAGGCAGAAGGATTGCAAGTTTGAGGCCAGCCTCAGCAACTCAGTGAGACCCTGTCTCAGAATAAAAAGGGCTGATGTTGTGGCTCAGTAGTAAAATGTCCCTCTGTGGTAAAGTGCCAGGGTTCAATCCCTAGCATAGCAACAACAACAACAAAAAGGGATGAAGATAATAATAACAATCTGGAGGGTCATACTAAAAATTAGCACTAATGGAGGCACTCAAAAGAGTCTGGAATCCGGGCTGGGGATGTGGCTCAAGCGGTAGCGCCCTTGCCTGGCATGCGTGGGGCGTTGGGTTCGATCCTCAGCCCCACAAAAATAAAGATGTTGTGACCACCGAAAACTAAAAAATAAATATATAAAAAAAAAAGAGTCTGGAATCTAGGTCTTAATAGGGATTGGCCTAGTGAATGGATGTAGTCTCTCCTTTAAAAGAGGCTACATTTTAATGGGGAAGATAAGCAAGTAAATCCAAGATTATAATACGACTTGTTAGGTTGCATTATAATGCTGACTTATGGAAAAGGTGAATAAATTTATTCATATTCCCCAGTAAATGTAGGTTCCATCAGATTGCTATGTAGGAGTAGAATGAGTTTCCCTAGGAAGAAGTACATTCCCCTTACAGTCAAGACTAGACCATGTGATTACTTATGAGGGGTGTTTATAGAAAGTGAGTAGTAAGTTGGACTCAAAGGGTAGGCAAACTATGGCCAGCTGTGGGCCAAATCCAGCCAAATACCAGTTATAGTAAATAAAATTTGATTGACACAGCTCCACCCATTTGTTTATGCTTCCTGCTACAATGCAGAGTTGAATAGTTGTGATAGAGACCACATGGCCTGTTGAACCTAAAATATTTACCATCTGGACCCACAGAAGACGTTTGACCCATGAACTAGATAAATAATTCACAATGTAAGTTATTTCATGAACTAGTAACCTTTATAAATTCTTCGTTATAGGGATTTCACATGTTAAAAGAAAGGAAGGCAGGGTTTGAGTGAACTGATCATTGTTTTTCTTGTTGTGGCAAAGAATTAAACTGCAAAACACTTAATTAAATAATTTACAAGGTTCCTTAAGGGTCTATGGTTTTATAAACATATCTTTTGATGTAACAAAATATTTGTACATCACCTGAGCTAAAACCATCTATACTCATTGGAAGTGGGATGTGGTCCAGGTACACTGGAAAGGACTGGTTGTATTAACTGTTCTAAGGGGCAGTTTCCTTGTTTATAAATGAAACATTTTGTAAAGATTGGAGATTATAGTAGGTACTCAGCTGTAGCTGTCATTACTGTATTTCATAGTATACTTCATTGAAGAGTGGTTGGGAATTGTGGCTGGGAAAGTGTAGATCCTTCCCTTGATTGCTTCAAGGTGGTGTAATACACAAAAACCTTTCTTGGAGTGAACTAGATCTCAGGTCCTCATGGGTTTAGCAAATAGTTAGGGGAATGTCTTGTGGCTGGTGGTTTTGGTACATGTTATGGGTGTTATTCTCAGTACTAGAAAGGTTGAGGCTTCCCAAATATTGCACTTCTTCCCCCAGACTAGATTATTAAACTTTGCTTCTTCCTATATATTTTATTTTTTATACTTAGAGTCTACTGCTAGCTAACATTTTTTTTTTTTCCTTTTCTTGTGTGAAAGTGTTGACTCGGAGACAAAGAGAGGCCAAGAACAAGAGTGACAGCAGGACAACTGCACAGGCTTCCCTAGACATTGACAAGTAAGTAGGTGTGCTGCATTCACAGAGCTCTTATTTAACATGCCGTTGCTTGAACCAAATAAAGAGACCAGTTCCTTACTCTGTATTTCTTTGGCTTGCCAATCACTTCATTGCTTGGATGCTTGGACTTTTTCTTATTTCTGTGTTATGTCAATATAAGTCATACCTGCATCCCCTTTCAGTACACTAAAAATGATCCTGCCACCCACTGCACTTCCACGTTGCTCTTAGGTTTCTGTTTTCTTTTAATTTGTAAATTGGTATTTGGTGGTTTGGGAAAGCAGCGAACATTTTGCTGTGTAATAGTACACAAGTTGAGTTGCAAAAGGTTGGGTAATATAGACTTCCTTGGGTTGTGGGTTGCAGTTTGACTAAAAAAAAAGTTCATTCTAAGGAATGGATCAGGTATATATAGGTGCTGCCTCCTGAAAACAAAGAGGTTATCAACACTACATTACCAGTGAGTCACTAGGCAGAAAATGAGCTTTTCAGGTTCTTTTTTTTTTTTTCTTTATTTTTAAAAACTAATACATAGGGGCTGGGGTTGTGGCTCAGTGGTAGAGTGTTCACCTAGCATGTGTAAGGCACTGGGTTTGATTCTCAGCACCACATAAAAATAAATAGAGGTATTCTGTCGATCTGCAACTAAACAAAATTTTTTTTTTTAAATAATAACACATGGGGCTGGGGATGTGGCTCAAGTGGTGGCGCGCTTGCCTGGCATGCGTGTGGCCCGGGTTCGATCCTCAGCACCACATACAAACAAAGATGTTGTGTCTGCCGAAAACTAAAAAAAAAAAAAATATTAAAAAAATTCTCTCTCTCTCAAAAATAAATAAATAAATAAATAACACATAAAAATTATACATATTAATGCTGTCCCATGTGTTTTGATATACATACATTGTCCCAAATGTATGTACTGTGTAGCGTGTGAGTCAAATCAAACATACCTATTTTCTCCAACAGTCACCATTCTTTTACAGTGAAAACATTGAACTAAAAGCAGTACTTTATCCATAGTCACCCTCCTGTGCAAAAGCACACCAGAATTTCCTATTCCTGTAACTAACTATAACTTAGTTTGACACTGATCAACCTCATCCCATCCCTGCCTCCTGTCCCAGTCTCTGGAAATCATTCTTCTGCTCTCAACATCTATGAGATCAGTGTTTTTATATTCCACATATGAGTGAGATCATGTACTACTTGTCTTTCTGTGCCTGTCTTATTTCACTTATGATGGTCTCTAGTTCCATCCACGGTGTCACAAAGGACATGGTTTCAATCTTTTTTTAATAGCTGAATAGTTTTTCATTTTCTTCATCCATTCATCCACTGAGGGATGCTTAGGTTGTTTCCATTTCCACAAAGGTGGGCATGCAGATGTCTTTCTGACATACTGATTTCACTGGCTTTGGATATATACCCAGGAGTGTATATAGTGTACATATATATGGATCATATAGTATTTCTATTTTTAATTTTTTTGGGGAACCTCCATTCTGTTTTCCATAATAGCTTTATTAATTCACATTCCCACCAGCAGTGAGCAAGGATTCCTTTTTTTCCACAATCTTGCCAGCACTTGTTATCATTTGTCTTTTTGATAATAGCCATGGCTATTGGAGTGAGGTGCTACTGCATTGTGATTTTGATTTGCAGTTCCCTGATGATTAGTGATGTTGAGCATATTCTCATCTACTTGTTGGCTACTTGTGTGTTTTTGTTTGAGAAATGTCTATATAGGTTTATTCCCCATTTTTAATTAAGGTATGCAACTCTTTAATATTGAGGTTTTTGAGTTCCTTATGTATTCTTATTTTAAATAACTCCTTTTTACATGTATAGCTTATTTTCTCCCTTTCTATAGATTGTCTTCTTTGGTGATAGTTTCCTAGAAACTTTAATATTTAAAAAATAAAAATTTTAGACTCCAAATTTCAGAGCTGTGTTCCCTAATTCATTTGAGCAGAGTTGATCATTTCATCCTTTGGAATTCTATTTAGTAATATTCCTTTAGGATCGTATTGCAGTTTTAAAAAAAATTTCTGTGTCCCCAGCTGGTGTGAGTTGAAGGCAGATATTTGCTTTCATTTATGTTTATGTCCCTAACATCTAATAAAATGTGACTGCAACAGCAATAATATTAACTGTTTATTGGGCACCAAATATTATGTGCCAGTCATTGTTCTAGATGCTTTATTTATTTTGTAACTATATAATAGTGGAAAAGGTATAGTTGTTCTTTTTTAAATAAAGAAATGAAGAGAAAATATATGTAATTAATTGGTTAGGATCATGTGGCCAGAAATGGCAAAGCCTATCTGTCTCTAAAACGTCAACTCCTTCTGCAGTGCTGTATCTCTCATATATAGTAGATAATTGACAAATAAATGCTTAGTTATCAATTTATAAATGCAGTTTATTAATTTCAGTGTTTATATATCAATGCATTAATTGATAAATCCTGAAAGGGACACTGGTCTAGCTTTTCTTATAATGCAGAGATTTGTTTGCATTCTTCCAGATAATTAAGTACTTGTTTAAAGACTTCTGGAGAAATTCTTCCATAGAGCTAATATTTTACTGTAGTTACTGAATAGTAATGACTAGAGAGAGAAATTTAAGCATGTGCCAGAAAGTTTTCTTCAGCTTCTTAAGCTAAAATGATCTTATGAAGTTAGATGTATGTACGTTCTGGTAATTATGAGATATAAGACCTTGGGAAGAATGTTCTTTTCTAATAGTGCTGAAGAATTAATTGAGAAATATGTTTCAAGGGCCTTCCACAGGTATTGACTACAGAGAAATACTTAATGTATTGATTTTTTTTCTTTGGCCCCAAATAATTCCGGTTTTAATGATATCCAATAAACATTACTTCAAGGGCATACTTTCCTCTCTCTTTCCAAACTATGTTGTTATAAAAAAACAAGAATAACCATGTATATGAAATTATGCAAAAGCCTCTGGCAAGCCCACATGTTTTAGTAACTTCCTAGTTGATGTTACAGGTTGTAGAGTAAGGAAGTTAGCATATAGACAGACTAGATTTACTAATCAGATTGAGTTCATCAACCTGGTAAAGATGTTATCTTGATTTAATGCTCTTGGTACTCCCTTTTCTGTCAAAATTTTAACTTCTCTTTGAAAAAAAAAAAAAAAGATTACACTTAATTTCAGAAGAGTTTGACAGAATATTTTATGTCGGTGGAGCAATCAGCATTGTTTGAGATAGTTAGAAGAGCTGATTTCATTACCATCCCACTGCTGCAACAGCAGGATACATAGAAACAGCCAGGGAAAATGCTAATCACTCAGTCCGTTTGATTGGCATGGGGTTAGTTTTATTGGTAATCCCGCTGAGCAAATCTGCATTGGTTGACGTATCTCCTCAGCAGAATAACTTCAAGATGTAAAAACACAATTTGAGACATCCAGGAGCCCAGAGGCAAATGCAAATCTTAAAACTGCTTTTTCTCTCTCTTCTGATTGGCTAGGGTTGAAAAGTGTTATCTTTGTAAATCCCTGGTCCCATTTGGAGAGTATCAATATCATGTAGATTCCTGTCTCCAGCTTGCAAGGAGTAACCAAGGAAATGGACTTGAAGGAAGTGGTAGAGCATGTTCAACTGTGGAAGGGAAGTGGCTGAGGAACCCAAAGGTATGTGGGGAGTGTTTTGGGAAAGCCTACCTAACCCTACTTAATTTTAAGAGGCCATAATAGTTCTTTTCTGGGCTTCCTGTTCCCTCTCCCCTTCCTTCCTGTTATCTTGAAATAGAATTTGTGCTTTTTTTAAATTACTTTTTAATTTAAAAGGTAATTTGGACTAGGGATGTAGCTCAGTGATAGAGTGTTTGCCTAGCTTGCTCAAAACCCTAGATTCAATTCCTAGCACCACCACCACCAACAACAACAAAACCAAAACCAAAGTAATACATGTTCATTATAGAAAACAATGAAAGTTCAATAGAAGTATGAAAAACCAGGAGAAGTCATCACCCATAATTTGCTACTTGAAGATAGCAACTTTTTAAATATTTTGGCTTATTTTCTTCCATTCTTTATACACACACAAGATATATATACTACATGTACATATACACTCTTTATATACACATCATACATAATATTTTATATATATACACACACACACACACATGCATGCTATATATAAAAAATAGGTGTTATCTGGGCTAAGGCACATATATTTTAGACTCTTCCATATAGGATTATATATGCTTTATAATCCTACAGTATATAATAGTATAAATTTTTTAGGACTTATAAAAGCAATGTGTAAGGGCTGGGGGTGTGGCTCAAGCGGTAGCACGCTCGCCTGGCATGTGTGCGGCCCAGGTTCGATCCTCAGCACTACATACAAACAAAGATGTGTCCGCCGAAAACTAAAAAAAAAAATAAATATGAAAAAAATTCTCTCTCTCTTTATCTCTCTCTCTCTCTTAAAAAAAAAAAACAAAAACAATGTGTAGTATAAACGTCTTTCTGGGTTTATTTTTAAACTACTTTTAACAATTACTGTTAATGTTTGTATCACACATGGTCACCTAACCATTGGACATTTAGTTATTTTCATAGTCCTTTTGTATTATAAAGCATTTAAATATATTAGTCTGTCTTTGTACCACCAATTATTTCTTTAAATAGATTTCCTGAAATGAAACTATTGGGACAATAGTTCTAAACATATTTTGGGGGGGTATACTAGGGATTCAGCTCAGGGGGACTCAACCACTGAGCATATTCCCTAGCCCTATTTTGTATTTTATTTAGCAACAGGGTCTCACTGAGTTGCTTAGCACCTTGCTTTTGCTGAGGCTGGCTTTGAACTCACAATGAGGAAGCCATTCTCTGTCATGCAAGAAGAAGGGGATCTTTCTATGAATGGGTAATTTTTTGATGTGGTGATTTGAAATTATGGTTCATAGGTGAGAGCTTACTTATACCAAAGAGCCATTTTATTCTTTTGGTATTGCTACCTGTAGAAGCTACCTTGAAACTTATTTTCTATTTTAAATCTCCCCAAATCTATCATAGGTCTGAGGCAGGTGTTCTTTGATGTGATTGTAGTGGACTGATTTGGCTTGCTAATAGTATCCATTCTTGGATTATATTCTTGACATAGAGATGTATTCTGTGTATTAGAGTTTACTTTTTTTTCTTGTCTTCCCTCATTTACTAGAAAGCAAAAGACTTCCCTAGAGCTGTTTGCCACACCTCTTATTTTCTGGAAAATAGGTGTGATCTGGGCTAAGGCACATATATTTTAGACTCTTCCACAAAGTAACCCTTTCATCTGTTTCTCTCTGTCACAGGAAAAAGGCCACAATGAAGGGCGACTCCTCAGTCTCTTGGAACAGTCTGAGCATAAGACTGAAGGTGAGAATCCTAGGATTAGTTTTCTGAGTTTCTGTCTAAAGCCTTCCAGGGCCACTGTCAACTCCTAACTATATGTTGGGAGTTATGTGAGTGCATTTTTGGCCTGATCAGCTGACCTTTGAGACTCAGTCTAGGTCATCTCTCCCTAAGAAGATGAGGAGATAACTCATCTTATTCATGTGATTCATTTCAGGCTTTAAAAAGGCCTGATAGCAGACCTGGGAAACATGTTCAAATCATAGGGGAATGACACAATACCGGAGTAAGCTTTCTAAAGAAACTAGTGTGGAAAACTAGACATGCAGACATTACTGCCTCCTCTTGATGTTTTGTTCATCATTCATATATTACCTTTAGCTTAGCCTCCCAACTTATGCTTCTGGGGGACTGGAGGAAGTAGCTCCTTCTCTTTCTCTTTCTATTTTTTTTTAGGGAGATTAGAATGTATTGGTCAAGAGTATTGCAGAATGTTAGTAATACCAACTTTATAGATTGTATTCTCTGGCATAAATAAGGCTCTTAATAAATGTTAGCTGCTATTATTACTGTTGTTGCTATTAGTCACTATTGTTCAAATTCATCAGATGTAGATGAAAGAGGAGCTTTTGCTTAAGCTTGGTAAGATTTGTTACCATGTAGTTCTAATAGTTCACTCCCACCAAGCTAATCTGTTGTGCCTTCTGATGACTATAAAAAAGGCAGCCTTTCCAAGCTCTACATCCTGCTGCCTCTAGATCACCAGGTTGTGAATCTCTGCAGGTGGCAGATTTCCCTTGGCAACTCCTTATTGCTCAAGTCCAGATTTGAAGTAGATTTATTCAGAGGTGGTTCATTGAAAAGTGTTCACCTTGATAATTCTGCCGCTGAGCCTGTTGGATACTAATGCTCACATTCCGTTGGTCTGAGGATTGGGGGTCTGAGCTACTTGAATAGGCCTGATGAAAAACAGCGCCTAGAATACAGGAAATACCAGATCGGTGACAAGTGTTATGATTACCAACATTATTACTTTTTCTTTCCTATCACAGATGCAGAGATAAAAACCAAGTCTTCAGAAATAGGAACCTTCAGGTGAGTTGAGGTATACACAGAAATGTAGCTGTCAGCAGTTCTGAAAAGTATAGGCCTGGTCCTGGATTTTGTGTGAGTGTGATAGTCAAACTGTTGAAAATATAAATCACTGTGGAAGTAGTATGATGCCTCTGTCTCTGTCTCTGTCTTTGTCTCTCTCTCTCAACTCTATAATAACTATACATCTGAGCTAAGAATGGCATGGATAGCTTCTTTCACTTATGGTATTAAAACAAATAGAGCAGAAGCTATGGTCCTACTTACCTGACTTCTCTATCCCCATCCAACCCTGATCCTTTGGACCTAGATTTCAGGCAGCTTGGGAATTTGAGTCTGAATCCTCATTCTTTCAATGCTTTTAGGTTATGTGATTCACCTAGTTCCTTATCTGTACAATGATAGTACTTAACTAGTTGGATTGTTACAAAGATTATGTGTACTACTATTATATGTAAAAGCCCCTCATAAAGTGCATAGCACATATTTGGGGGCCAGTAGGTGTATATTGAACTTAAAATTTCCCCTTCCTTCTAGGTTGCCCTCACCAGGTGTGGAAGAGGCAGGCTGCAGCAGAGAGATGCAGAGTTCCCTCACACAGCTTGGCTTAAATGAGTCTCCTATCAAGTCTTTTGTTTCCATTTCAGAAGCCACAGATTGCTTAGTGGACTTCAAAAAGCAACTTACTGTCCGACCAGCTAGCCGGACACGGACCAAAGCAGGCAGAGGAAGAAGGAGAAAATCTTGAATTTCTAGAGTTCAAAGGTTGACAAACCATTAGTAATCAGGGTGGGCCATGTTCATAAGCCATAGTAACCCCCATTTCATTGTTTAGCAAATTTTGACTCTGCAGTTTTCACCACCAGCACCCACTCACTCAACATCTTGGTTTTTTGTTTTCTATGATCTATACAGACAGCTGTGTAAAGTATTCTGTTTTATAACAGTCTGTTTGAATTTACTTATAGTTAAAAGAAAGTTTAAATATATTTATCTATGTATGAAATCTTATTTCAATAGAGAAGAGTTTCCTTTTTGGGGGGGGTTTGGGTGAAGATATTTTAATTGTGGAGGTAATTGTCATAAATTATGTGTTTCTGAATGGATTTCATTAGTAATCTTTGACATCCCACTTACAATCACTTATAGAACAGTTCTGAATACTGTGTGGTTACTACCATTATTATTTCTGACACCAGAGTTATTCTGCTTTCCCTTTGATTCAGTGACCTGCCGCTTCTTCTTGTCCTCCCCCAGTTAATAATTCTCAGCCAAAAACTGGGCATGGTGGTGCGTGCCTGTAATCCAAAAGGCTTGGGAGCCTGAGGCAGGAGGATTATAAGTTCAAAGCCAGCCTCAGCAACTTAGTGAGGCCCTAAGCAATTTAGCAAGACCCTGTCTCAAAATTTTAAAAAAATAAAATAAAAAAGGGTTGGGGATATGGCTCAATGGTTATGTGCCCCTGAGTTTAATCCCCAGTACCCCCCACCCCAGCCGCCCTACAAAAAAAAATTCTTAGAGCATAGAATATTTGAGAGAAGTGCCCTGCCATTTTCCCTAGGATTTTTTAGGTATGCAGTCTGGTATTATTATTTTTTCAAAATAGATTAACCAGTAGGGATGCCAGGCATAGTCATATGTTCAAAATAATATTGGTTTTTCTTCCTGTCAAAGGTCATAGCAGCAATAGTGACTGTTATTCCACTAACATTACTGGAGTAGTGCATATTCTTCCATCACTTTGTCTGGGAGCTTCCACTGCAGAACAAAATATGGTCTGTCCTCAGTGTGTAAGCAGACTCCAAAATGAGAGGTTGTGAAATGGCAGAGGTAGCTACCTGAGGGAGATGAACAAACAGGTATCTTAAGAAAGCTAGCTTTGGCACCAGCTGCTTTGAAGATGGCTTGAGAGATTGTAGGAGGGAGCTGTTGGCCAGGAAGAGATCTTGGGTCGTGATAAATGGGCACACAATGCAGACTCTTCTAACTGATTTATTATATCCCAAGTTACCATTTCCTTTATTTTAATTAAAATGAGTTAGCCTGGGGAAGGTAGCTAGAATGTAAGAATTAGCACAGATGTTAAGGCACTGTATCCTGCTCTAGGGACATTTGCACACGAGCTCCTTCAGTTAGAAGGCAGGCTGCTTACTGCCATCCATAGATGATGTCTTGTTGTTGGATGGCACTGACATTGCAGCTATATCACATATGTAATAGCTATTTTTTTTGAGCGGTTACCATAGACCAGGTAATGAATGGACCTTCATTACATTTAATCCTCATAGCAACCCTATGAAATAGGTATTATAACCCATTTTCAGATGAGGAAACAAAGGCTCAGAGGAACAAATAAAGCCACTCTTTGTTCATGTCAGTAAAACTGTGGTGCTGCTACTCTTCAGTTCTAAAGAAAATGCTTTATTTTAACTCTAGTATTGATTATTTTCCTTCTAAGGAAAAGTAGTTTATCAGTTAAGTCCCAACTGCTTAACCCTTGCTCATCATCTTTCTCATTAAATGGCACTTTATTGGAGGTAGAGCTCTATAAACATGGGACTGTGTTTCTCTCTCTGCCTGAAGAAAAGGGAAAGAGCTGTTTCTCAAAGGTAAATTATTTAACTTAAATTTGAGCAGTTGCCATAGAACTTGGTTCAGTGGCACGATGGTATGGATCAGCCAGACCAGGAACCAAAGGCTTATTTATTAGTTAATGGAGAATGAAGGGAAGAATAATCACTGTCCCCCACCCCAAACACACCTCCCCCAGCTATCTTCAATAAGGGCTGCTGCTTTTTTTTTTTTCCTTCCCTGTGCTATGGTCTTACAGGGGGAGGATTAGTGAAAAAGGTACAAGAGACAAAGTGGAAAGTGTGTCAAACCAAACCAAGTCTGCGCTCTGCTTCTGATACAAGTTACCCAGCCTCTGTGTACTTAGTTTTCTTTGCCCACAAAATAAGAAAAATTATGTTTACAGATTTCTTAAGGATTAATATAATGTATATAAAAGTTGTACCACAGTGTCTGTCACATAGAAGATGGGGAGTTAGTGGCAGCAGTTGTTACTAATTTGACATAAGTCTTGTGTGTCATAAGTGGTGTTGCAGTGAGGGGTGGAAGGACCAGAGAGAGATGGAGTGCAGATGCAAGAGGAGATATTTCAGAGGACTGAGCACTCACTCAGAGGATCTACTACAGCCCCATCAACCACCAGCCTGCCACAGAAAGCTTGGTTCCTGTACATTTGGAGCTCTCCTGGGGACCCTGGGTGGTTCTTCTGAAAGATAGGAAGCAGCTGTAATGCTGGTGTTGCCAACTCATGGAAAGGTGGGAAGCTTCATGAGCTTCACAAGCTATTGCCATAAATTGGGAGAAAGACAGAGATTGCTCTGTGTCAGGCATTGTAGCTGTGTTATTTCATCCTTACAACAGCCCTCCAAAAGATGTTGTGCCTGGCCCACTTCCCTTGGGCATTCACCCTTCTACTGCATTCCCGCAGGGCCCTATTGGAAGTACCTATGATGCCCTGCCTGAGGACTTCTTTTGGCTTATGTTGGTACATGCTGGAAGTTCCAGGGGAGCAGTGCCCTGGGGTAGCTCTCAGCCAGTGAAAATGAAAGTTGAATGATAAATACCCCATCTTCTTTACCCCTCAGGTGGAATAAGGTGTATTCTACTCTTCTTTCTGTTGAATTGAGTGTCAGTAGCTCCCAGCAACGACTTAATTATGTACCCTTCTCTGTTGGCATCTTTCCCTTGCTACCTTGCTTCCAACTCTCCTGTCAGGACCAGGACTAGGTAACAGTTTCATGTAAATGCAGGGTTAGAACTTGAGAGGATCTTGTTACATTTCTGCATCCTAGGCATTTCACTTGCATCACCCTAGTCCTGGCCCTGCTCTGGATCTTCCCAAATAAAGTTTTTGCCCTCAAGTTACATCCACTTGGGGGGGGGGGGGGGACTCAACCTAAAGCAAATCCTATGGAGAAATTAGTCTCCCGTTTTATACATGGAAAACAAATTCAGAAAAGTAAAGAGTTTTTATCACACAGCTGGTAAATGGGATGGGATTTGAACACAGGTCTGTTTTGATACCAGAACTTACACTGCCTGTACTGTACTATGTCTGACCTCCCACTTGACTCACACAGCCGATGACTCCATGGAAATTTCAGGCTTGGTGGGCTCATTCTCACCTGTGGGGCAGGGCAGCTTTGGTGGAGAAGGGAGGTAGAAAACAGACGGGAGGGTTGGTAGATGGGAAAATGTGGACACCCAAGTGGAAAGTGCCATATGCACCAGCAAGGCAGGAAGTGGCTGTTTATTTCCTTTCCATTTTAAAAGCCCTGGACTGTTGAGGTTATGGGAGGGCCCTCCTGTTTAATAAAAATTAGCTGATAGCTATTCTGTATCAGGTCTAGAACCAGAACTTGAGGCTCCAAAGGTAAATAAGGAAAATTACCTGGGAGCCCATAGTGCAGTGGGTAAAATGAACACATATATAGATGATTTTAATAAACTTGTAAATGCAATGAAATTAGCAAAATCTAGATAATAGGGAATGGGTGGGCAGGCTCCCAGCTGGGGTTAGGACCAGGAGGAGCCTGTCAAGGAAGAACTTCCCACCATTGCTGACTGAACTGTAGTTTAACAGATGAGGGGAAATTAGGTGAAAAGGTGGGAGAGTCCAAAGGGGGTGTCATTCTGGACAAATCGGCATGAACAAAGGCACAAAAGAAGTAGCTTGATGCCTGTGGGAGAGTTGCAAGGTACATTCAGAGTATAAAGGGCATCCATGCTGGGGAGCCTATGAGGGCCTGTGTCCCTGGCTGCAGGCACTGAGGGAGTAAGCTCAGAATAGGGAGGGCCTAGCCTCTCAGCCCAGCAGCTGTACTCTATCCCTGTTCCGCAGTTCCTTCTTGGTGGTTAAGATTACACTAAGGGACTATGAGGGCAGCTTGTCTGGATTTGTCCTTCTCCTTGCTGGTCAGTGACCATCTGGTATCTGCCCGAGTATTGCATCTGCCTTGCCTCTGCTACTGCCAGGGCTGTCCCAGCTGCTCACAGCATCCCTCTACTGACTGACCCAAAGACTTTCCCTGGCACTACAACTAGAGATCAGGACACCCACTGCCTGGTGAAATGGGCACGGCACTTTAAGAAACACTGGCAGGAGTTCTGGTAACGCTTGTCATGTGTGTCCTCACCCTGGTTCAAGAGTGCAAATGTTAGGCCCTGGGTTTAATCTCCCAATACAGCAGGGGGAAAAGGTACAAATGCTGTTGTCAGCATAAATCATAGCTAGAGCTTTTTGCATTCAACTAAACTAAGTTGAGAAATGGGAAGCTCAGGCTAGGGAGAATGCTGTGTTGTGGGTGACAGCCACTCTGCCTTCCCCAGTGCATCCTCCACTTCCATTGCCTTTCAGAGCCTGGTTGGTACCCAGTGTACTACAGCAGGGCTGATGTCTGCCATGCTTCCAGACCTAATTGTGTAAAAGCTGATAGAAAAGTCACTGTCCCTGGTGTTCGTCTAGTGTCATGTGGAAGCCTTGTCCTATATGGTAGGGAACTGCTGATGAGGTAGTGGTAAAATGTCCACCAATTTTCCTGAAACACAGATTGTTGCAGTGTGCTTAGTCTCCTAAGTGGTGCCCCAGGGTTCTGTGCATTCAGGACTAGTTCAACGGAAAAACAGCTTGGTGGCCAGCAGCCTTAGACTTTGCTTCTCCTTCCAGTAAAAAGACGCATGGTGTGAGCCTACTCTCCCCATTTAAGACAAAGGCTAGATTCCTCAGGCTGGCTGTCACCTCTTCTCCTACCATATGTCCCCTGGAGGCCCTGGGAGCTGCACACAGTTCCATGAAGGCACCTGTGTGTATGTGTGTGTGATTGCAGGTATGCGCTCCTCTTTGTGAAAGGACCCCCTCTGCCAGCACACTGTTCTTTCTTCAAGACTTGGCTTCCACAGCCTGCCCAGCACTCATTCACTGTCAGTCCCTTCCTCTTGTG